CATCCAGACACTTCTGATTACAGAGAACTACTGCTTGAGCAACACTGACCAAAGTGTCCACTTGTATACATTTTTTTGGCACCTCCAGTATATATTTCAGTTGATATTCAATATTATTTTACATTAGTTTCAGGTGTACAGTATAGTGGCTAGGCAGTTATACAATTTATGAAGTAATCACCCTGATAAGTCTAGTACCCATCTGACACCATACATAGTTTTTAGATTATTGACTATATTCCCTGTACTGTATTTTACAGCCCCGTGACTATTTTGTAACCACCAATCTGCACTTTCTAATCCCTTATCTTCTTACCCACCCCCCAACCCCCCACCCATCTAGTAACCATCAGTTTGTTCTCTGTATCTATGAGTCTATTTCTGTTTTGTTTGTTCGTTTATTAGGAAATAATATTTTAATTGCAGGATTGTTGTGGGGATTAAATGATACAATGAATAATATGCAAAGCCCTTAGCCTCATGTGTGGCACATATCAAGCCTTCAACAAACTGTGGTTATTTTTATTATTTCATGATAGGAATATATGTATTATACTGCAATTTCCTCAAGGACAGAATCTACATTATATTTATCTTTCTGAAACCCAAGCATCTACATATTCAAGTAAATTAAATAAGAACCATGGCCTATTGATCAAAAAATAGGATGAGCAAATCTCCCCAGGGACACCATTTAAGGATTTCTGCAAATAAAAGGATAACATGTCCATATCATTCTCTCTTTCCACTACTCTGTACTACTTTTATGGTACATTTATTGCATAAGCTGCAACCTCAGGTGGAAACCTTAGTTGGAGACTTTGTAGACACAGAGAGTGAGTAATTTGTCTGGAATTGAGATCTAAACCTAATCAATCTAGTTCCAAAGTCTGTCCTCTTAACCAAAATGTTCTGTTTCCAATGATGAAAACCACTGACATTTACATATTAGCACTTCTAAAAGAGTTTAATTTTATCTTCATAACAACCCTTATGAAAGGTCGGGCAGACAATTCATAACACCATTTTACAAATGAAGGAATTCTGCCAGCATCAGAAACTGTCTTGATTACCAGCCACTGAATATTCTGCTGGGGAAGTCATTGGGACCCCTGCACTCCTGGGTCTGTAGGTCAGTTTCTTGAGGTTGGAATTTGAGCTTTGGGAGATCAAATCACTGCCATCTCCTAGCCAAGAAATGCACTTTCCTCTGCAGCACAAAATGTACCAGAGGGTATCTTGGGCACCAATGCCTAATTTATCTTCAAGACTTCAATATATTATAAGACATAATACCCTGAAACTACTACCTCCCACATTCCTCTTATCATATAAGAGTTGATCCAAAATGTTCCTGTCTGTTCTATGCCACTAACCAGTCTCCACATGTCTAATTTTAGACAGCAAGTCTTCCTGGCCCAAGGCCACCCTTGACTGTGTGTTCTGTACAGTGAGTGCCTGCAGCAGTGAAAAGGCTGACAAATGCCACCACAATTCAAGGACAACTGGGTGGGCATTAAGGGACAGGTATACAAAGGCTAGGTGAACACACTGATTATATTTTCTTCCTGTGATTTATCCATTTGAAACAAAGCCAATACCGATAAAATTCAATTACCAAAAATGTATTAAAAAGGTGGAAATGACCTAAATGTTCAAGAAAAGAAATTAGTCGAACAAATTATGGAACATTCATAGAATACATTAAAATTATGTTCCAAAAGAATATTTAAAATGCAAATCAAAACCACAGTGAGCTACCACTTCATACCCATTAGGATGGCTATAAGAAAAAAATGGAAAGTGTTGGCAAGGACGTAGAGGTATTGAACCTTCATACACTGCTGGTGGGAATGTAAAATGGTGCAGCCGCGGTAGAAAACAGTTTGGCAGTTCCTCAAAATGTTAACCATACATTTCCCATATGACCCAGCAATTCTTCTCCTAGGTATATACCCAAGAGAACTGAAAACCTATGTTTGTACAAAAACTTGTACACGAAAGTTCATAGCAGCACTACTTATTCATAAGAGCCAAAAAGTAGGAACCCAAATGTCCACCAATTGATGAATGGATAAAAAAATGTAGCATAACCATACAATGGAATATGATTCAGCTATAAAAATGAATGAAGTACTAATACATGCTACAACATAGATGAATCTTGAAAACGTTATGCTAAATGAAAGAAGCCACACAAAAGGACAGATATGCATGATTCTATTCAGATGAAAGATCCAGAATAGGCAAATCCATAGAGACAGAATGCAGAGAGGTGGTGGCCAGGGGGTTCAGGGAAAAGGGAATTGGGACTGGCGGCTAATAGCTACAGGGTTTCTTTTGGGAGCGTTCTGTAATGAAATAGTGGTGCAACTATGCACAACATGGTGAATATACAAAAACCACTGAACTGTACACAATGAAATGGTAAATTTTATATGTGGATTATACCTCAATAAAAAAAATCACAATTCAGTGCAGGCAAGAGGATATACATAATGATTTTATAGATAATGGTTCAGAATATTGAATTAAAAAAATATAAAGTTTTAAGACTTCAAGATATTTTAAAGAAGGTACTTCAAATTTGGACAAATACTCAGTAGTGATATGACAGCAGCAATGTTGGGGGAAAATAAAGTGGGATACCTGGCCCATATTTTACATAAAAATAAAGATTCAACAACCCAAAATTACATCATAAAAGTTCTATCAGAAATCAAGAATAATGAATGTGAAAAAATGGTCATTATATAGCACTTTAACAGAAAACATGTAACCAAACACTGCAGTGTCATCTTATTTGGAGAAAAATACATATTTTCAGAATATTTAATGACACAGAGAGACATTTGTAGCACAGTACTAAATTAAAAAGGTAAAAACCATATGTACTGTGTAAAACTATTTTTGTAAATTAAGCATACACAGAAATAAGCCAAGAATATACACCAACAGATTAAGACTCTTTCCTTCTGAGTGGAGAGATTGTAGATGATTTTCACTTTCCTCTTTCTGTGTAATTTTAATTTTTTCCACTTTCTACAGTTAACATGTATCGAATGTATAAAATGAAAAGATGAAAGTTACTTATAAAAAACTGACTGACTTATTCTATCTTCTCTCATTTGCATTCTCACCCTACGCAGATGCCTTAGGCAATGTTATATCAAGAGTTCCTATTCCAATGACCACATGCTTCCCATTCCTAACATTACCTGGAAGACGTCCATTAGAATCATAGCTGACAGCAGCATGGTGATCATTTCAAAATGTCCTGTCTTCATTTTTCTTTTCTAAATTAAAATGAAGAAATTCCAACTTAGTAGACTTAAAAAGAGGCTTAGGGAAGTCGAGCAGGATGATACACTATGTATCTTTGCATTCTGTGTGAAAGGGAGTATCATGATGGTCAGGAAATGATTATCAAAAAATTCCAAAGGCTGAAAGGGCCATTAGATTTTGCCTGGTGGTCTAACACTCTCATTCTATACATGAGGAAACAAAAGCTCAGAGAACTTCAGCAATTTGCTTAAATTTAAATCTACCCATTTCTATTCTTCTTCCTATCACTAAATCTCCCCCTCAGCATACACAGGAAATTAACACCAACTAAAACAAAACAAAACCAAAAACATTTCAAAACCCCAGTTTCCCAGAATTCTCCAGGAGTTAGTGTCCATTCATTTCATCCATTCTTTTATCCTCTTTGTAAACCAAGTCAAGCTATTTGGGTAGAATGGAGGAGACTGTTGAGGCCAGTAGTGGTACAAACCAGAAGGTTATCCAAAGGGGCCTCCTTGCCCCAAATATTCACATTCAAGAGAAGCCCGAGGTTAAAACTTTCTGAAGGCGGGAATGAGAATAAGAAGGAACTGGGTAGGCAGCAACTCTAATAAGATTATACAACTCTGCTGGCTGAATGCCCAATATTCATCCCAGTGTTTATGAGACTGAAAGGGGTAAGCAGGAGGGTAAGAGGCCCTCAAAGGCTGAAGTTATGTTGGAGCCATCAACTGATTCAATTAAAGTTTCGTCTACAGTTCCTTCCACATACTTACAATAAAGTTGACATTACGGGAACAGAACTCAAATCTCTATTTTATCCTATCAATACCACAGTCTGGCATCTGAATATGGAAATGAACAGCACAGGGGAACAGCCCTAGATTCCCACCTTTATTTAGGAGCCGTTTATTGCACTAAAATATTAAAGCATAGCACTAAAATTCCTCTTACGTGTTCAACTTCCCTTTCCAAAAGAAATTTGGAATGTACGGCTTGAAAGATAACTGTCACAAGACAGTATATGCCAAGAAAGCTCAGAATCAGGTTGTTTTTTGTTTCTTCTTTTTAATTCTTCACTTCTGTAGTCTGAGTGTAAATAAGTAAAAATGTTTACCTGGCTTTTCTGCCTGTGGAGGAGGTTTAAATGATGCTAGGTCTCAAACTGTTTCCCCACTCTCTCAGTTGTGGTGAGCGTGTCTTCAGGATGGGAGGCTGTTGACAGTGAGAACTGAGAAGGGAGTGCTTTTCTTTTTATAAACACCCCCAGCAGTAACTTGGCAGTGGCACATTACCCCATTTGTGTTCTGCTATTTATATCTGGCCCCCACACTATCCCTTGGAATCACTGCTGTTTACACATGAAATCTCTAAGAGGCTTGTAAAGCCGCAGCAATTCTCTCTACCCACACAGCATGTCCATTTCTGAGCCCTCAGTTGTGGGCTTCTCAGAGAGTGATCACTTCCCATTCCTAACCTTTTGACTCTGAGATGTCAAACTAAAGCAAGATTTTACCCTAGCTAGATGGTTCACATAACTAAGGAGACTTGCTGCGTTAATCGCTGGCAATGGTGATGGCTATCACCATTCACTCCACCAGCTTACTATATTTCAGGTACTGTGCCAGATGCTGCGACACATGAACAAGTAAAACAAAGCAGTCACAATCTAATAGATATAAATATGTATACCTGACAGGAACACACATTAAGAATCGTGAGTATAGACAAAGTCCAGTGAGAACACTAAGAAGGGAAGGATCTGGTAATACCCGCGACTATAGCTCTCATCTGAGGAAAGCACATATAGTAAATATACCGACTGCAATACTGAAGAACACTTAGAGTTCACTTAGACTATGAATAAAAAATACCATGAAGTGTCCTAGGAAATTCATACACATGTACATTAATCGAATGTATTAGATAGTAGCACTAGTCATATTAGCCCAAAACTGGAAACCATCCACATGCCTATCAATGGTAGAATGAATAAATTGTGGTATTTTCATATAATGGATTTGGTATAACATTGAAAATGAACAAACTCTAACTATAAATAACAAATGTGGACAAACCTCACAAATAAAATTTTGAGCAAAAGAGACACATGTATATACTGCATGATTTAATTTACAGAGTACAAAATCTGGCAAAACACATCTGCGGCCTTAGATGTCAGAACTGGTTTCTCTGAGTGGGAGCAGTCACTGCTAGAGCAGAGATACAAGCGAAGCATCGAGGATGCTGTATAGGGCTGGTTTGGGTCTGAGTGTTGATTACACTAATGCATTCAGTTTGTGAAAATTCACCACACTGCATACTGATGTGTATTTTCCTGTGCCTGTGTGTGTGTGTACATACATACATATATTACTCAATGAAACATTTTAAATTATCTGAAGTACATCCACTCATCTACTTTTACAAAACGCACTGCATCTCTACTCTTCAGACTCTTCAAAACCTCTAACCTTTTCTGACCTCACTGGTTAAGCAATTTAAGATTAAATACACTAAATACACTCCCAGAAATAGTATCATTTTTTAAAAATGGAGTTTGGATAGAACAGAAAGTGTGTTTGCACATGTTTTCAGGCCTTACGCTCATGCTAACCTGTTTTAAATCCCAGGCATGTGGCCTACAAGGACTGCGGGACTAGGGTTTTCCTGTCTTTGTACCTCTCAAGCCTACCAGGTTCATCTAGATATCATGCACAAGACAGTCCACCAGAAAGAGCATAACCAATACCGCATGAAGCTCAAGGCAAGTTTTGCCTTGTTTATTCCCA